TTCAGAAAAGGGAGATTTCTGTCAGAAAAGAGGAGATTTCCGTCAGAAAAGGAATATTTCTGTCAGAGAAAAAGGAGATTGCTTGTCAGAAAATGGAGATTTCTGTCAGAAAGGAGGAAGATTTCTGTCAAGAGCTAAAAAGGGAAGATTTCTTCAGAGAAAGAGAGAGATTTCTCTAATAGAGATTGGAGATTTCTGTACAGAGAGAGAATTCTTCAGAACAAGAGTGAGATTTCTGCGTCAGGAGAAGGAGGATTTCTTTCGAGAGATTTATGTCAGGAAACAGAGGAGTTTCTGTCACAATAGAAGAGATTTCTATCAGAAAAAGAGGAGACTTCTGTCCATAAGAGGGAATTCCGCTCCGAGAGGAGATTTCTGTCAGAATAGAGATTCGTTTTGACGATAACGGAGAACATTGTGTCAGACAGAGGGAGATTTTCTAAAAACGAAGTGGGAGCATTATCAGGAGATGATTCTGTCAGGAGACGGAAAGTCTGTCAAAAAAGTGGATGTTGTCGAAAAGGAATTTCTGGTCCAAAAGAGAGAGATTTCTGTCAAAAGCAGAGATTTCAGTAGAAAAGAGCAGATTCTGTTCCAGAAAATAGGAGATTTGTGTTAGAAAAGAGATTTGCTGTTCAGAAAGAGGAAGATTTCTGTCAGAAAAGGGGAGATTTTTGTCAGAAAAGGCGGAATTTCTGTCAGGAAAGAAATTCTGGTCAAGAGAGAGTCAATCTGTCAGAAAAGACATTTCCTTCAGAAAGAGAAGATTCTGTCAAGAACAAGGGAGATTCTGTCCAGAAACAAGGCGGAGATTTTGTCGAACAAGGGGTAACGTTTCTGTTAGAATAAGATGTCATCTTCAGGAAAGAGGAGATTTCTGTCAGAGAGAGGTGAATTCTGTCAGAAAAGAGGAGATTTCTGTCAGGAAAAGGGAGATTTCTGTTAGAAAAGAGATTTGTGTCAGGAAAGAGGAGATGTCTGTCAGAAGGGATGTGAATTCTGTCAGAAAAGAGGAGATTTCTGTCAGGAAAAAGAAGATTGCTGTCAAAAATAAAAGATTTCTGTCAGAAAAGAGTAGATTTCTATGAAGAAATAGGTATATTTCTGTGAAAACAGTAGTAGATTTCTCTCAGAACTGAAGAGATTTCTGTGCAGAAACTGGAGATTTCTGTCGGTACAGAGACAGATTTCTATCATTAAAGAGAGAGATTTCAGTCAGGAAAAACTGAGATTTCTTTCAGAAAAGCGAGTGGGATCCCCTGAATTCCATGTCTTGCACTTGTCCCTTCTTGGCTCTTGTTCACTCCTGTGTTCATCCCCTCCCTGTGTTCTGATCTGCTGCCTCTGATTTCTCACTCTTATCCTGTAATTTGCTCCATGACCAGGTTATGCACTTTAGATGGGATTTTGAAAGGTGAGTGTTTAGTGGCTTTTGCTTTTCTGGTTTGTTGGGTTTACTTCTTCATGATCACTGGAAGAATGAACATCAGAACACCGTGGCACTCCTCTCTGCCTCCTGCTGAGCAAGGAGAGGCAGCCTTGCCTTCTGAGCTTGACTGAAAAGCCCATTTGGAGACTTTTCTTAGTGCCCCTTCCATGAACTATGTTTTATCTTTATGCTGTGAGGGGGAGGGACTCCTCATTCATGGCTGTCACTGCTGCTGCTGCTGTCACCAACCTCTCCCTTGGGAGCTGAGCCAATGGGAAGTCTGGGAAATTTTCCCTGAACCTTGGTAGAGGTGTACTGGGAGGAGTAAGGAGTCTTAGGAGGGAGGAGGCAGGAGGAACTGAAGCCCAGCACTGAAGGCCGCAGAACTCCAGGGAGAGGAGGTGAGTGGCATTCTGATTGCATGCTGGCTGGGTCATTCTAGGCTAAGTGTGCTCAGACCCCCTAAAATGATGGATGGAAAGCTCCTCGTGCCTGAGGCACTGCAAATCTTGAGCATTCACCTTCTTTTCCTTGGGAGAAAAATGCCTACCAATTGCTGAATATAAACTGCCTACCCAGAAGCTTATAAAAGATAACTTACATAGTGAATGCATATAATACCTGTGTCTGGGCTTTCCACTCCTGGGTGTCACAGCCATACTGAATAAATATGTGTCTATGAATGGATGAATTGATATTTATAAGCTAGTTTTTATTTTTTTTTAATGGCAAATTATCTAAAACCTTGTTGACAAGTTACATGCCAATCCCCATGTCTAAAAGCCATAATAAAGTGGTGATAATAATTTCCAAAAAGGTCTGCTAGGTCTTAGCCACTCCTTGTTGATTACATTTACAGTTTTGTCAATGATATTTGGTAACTTTAGCAACAATTGTGAGAGGCTTGAGGTTTAAAAAAAATTTTTTTTTTTTGTAAAATTAGACACTTTTGAGTACTCAAGTAGAATGATTCATAACCAGGGGATCTCCAACAAATCCAAAGCTGGGTATAGCTGAGCTTTAGAATATCTTTGCCCTATAATTATCTCCTTCTGCAACCATTTATGCCCTTGACATCTCTACTAGTATTTTTGTACTCAATAAAAACTAAAGAGAGTGTGGGCTATTCATGGACAGAAAAAGAACTATTTATATTTGTGAGGGCCTAACATCTGTGGTAGTTAGAACACACATTGTGACAACAGGAAATCCTCTCTGGAAGATTCTGATGCAAAATCTGTGGTGGGGTTTTCAATGCTAATATATGAGTAGAAAAGTTTACATTTATATTAATAAATAAAATCTCATCGATTTCTTGACAGGGATTAAATAAAACTATCCTGGAAGTTTTTTTCTTAAAAAGAGGTGCAAAGTCTCCCCTTTGCCTGAAGAGTATGTCAGAGATGGACAGAGGATAGAACTAGGAAGAAATAAGTTTCTCACCGGCAGAAGGCACAATTTCCTTTGTGTTTAATGAATGAAGGCTGGGTTTGGGTTTGTTACAAGGTAAAATGAGGTTGTCTCCTTTCTTCCTTGAGAACTAATCAGATTATGTTTTCCTGCCTGGACTTGGTCGTACTGCCAAGAGTAATGCTGAATAGAACAGCAGTAAAGAGATAAAAGCCTCCTAAGAGGTGTTTAGTAGGCACAAGCCCGAGAGTCTGAGGATTTTCCCTAGAGGAGCAAACGGAAAACCCGGAGCGAGGAGGCAGCAGGTCTCTCCACCAGGTGGTCTACCTCAGCAGCTTCTGTCCTGTTCTCTGCCAGGGGCAGTTTGAGCATCTTTTCTACACAGAAACCCCTGTAATCCTTTCACATTCCCTGAGCACTTTACAAATATGTCCACCGTCACTATTCTCACACTGCAGTCTAATTTTCAAATTTTACTTCTAGATCACGGGCCTTGAGGGGAGGGGCAAGGAAAATGTCTTAATAGTTTCCTCATGCCTAGCAACGTTTAAACTGAGGTGTTAAACTGAGGAGGTATTTCAGACCATAGTTTTTAATTTTTTTCCCTATTTCTTCTGAAATGATGAAAAACACATTTTGATGTTTCTTTTTGTCTCATTTCCCTCTTGTTTCAATTCTTCCTTTCCTGTGAGAAGTCAAGAGCAATTTGGGGACTGCAGAAAGCATGAATAGGGACAAAATAAAAGACAAAAACAAAAAATAATACTGGTTTCTTTCTACTGCTCTTCGTGTTATGTGATTAGCTTGTTTTAATGGCAGACACTGGAGTTTGGAGGTTAGTTTGCAAAAGTATGATTTTAAAGGTGAGCTAGTGAGGCAAGCTATGCTGCATAGATCTATAGTTTGAAGAATTTTTAAAATCCCTATTCAACTATTGACAGGAATTGGATCATTTCATCAATATAAAGTTTGCTATATGAGGTCATTATAATGACTTTACCAGTATATTATTACCTATCATAAATGGTGGAAACAAATAGTAACAATGTCCTTTGATATGTAAATAGATGTATCATATCTAATGTGATCTAATATAAATATATACATATTTAGGGTTTACATGTACATGCACATATATATTTAGTTTTACACATGAGCCTTTGGAGTTTAAAAGTAGATGCTTTGCTTCAATGCTCAGATGTTATGTGACAAGAACAAGCCTTGTGGGATACAAAGTAAAGGCCAGAAATGTTTTCTCCTATATGCTGTTACCTGTTTCAGTCTCAAATTGTGAACTTAACCACGTACCAGGTACCGTGAAATCATCGCACTGTGTGCGTGTGAAGTGTTTGGGCAAACTGGTTTGGAATGTGTTTTCCTGTATATCGTACAGGGACTTGTCATTTCTGTCCATCAGACACGGAGCACCACTCTGTGGTTTATCCCCAGACTCCCCTGCAGCATCCAGCAGAGGGATCCAGTGAGGAAACCGTGGTGTAACAATAAACCCAATCCAGTTTCTTGTTAAAGGTCTCCTAAAGTCATGCAGCCATTCACTCTCATCTGACTTAGTGGATCCAGGTCTCCACTCCGTCCTGGTAGAAATCAGAGTGGCAGGTAAGTGGGTGTTCCCACCTTCATGCCTGACATGTTTTGAGGAGCTAGTGCAGAAGACCCTGTATGATTGGAAGGCATCAATATTCATCTGGGGCTCTCAGTCTATCTCTCTGGCTGGCCACCTGATTTTGTAACTAACATTTTATTGGAACACAGCCATATCTGTTTACTTATTTTCTATGTCTGCTTTCATGCCACCTCTGCTCTTGGAAGTTCCTGATGAAATACATGCTGTAAGCTTCACAATGCATTGCTTAATCTTTCATTTGACAGAGCACTGGGCACTCTGCTAAGCAAAATAATGGCAGAGCTCCTTTTTAAGTCCTGAGTCTAGTTTACTTTCCTGATAAGTTTTAGTTTCTAAGGAGACCTTTCCTGATTGCTTCTTCATTCTTAATCTTCTCCCTTAACTATAAGTGGCTGCATCAGGAGGGTGTGTTGTCCTCGTATTGCAGTAAGCATTTCTTCATACCTGGTGTTATTGTCACATTGCCACATTCTCATGGCACCTGGCTTCTCTCTGTCTCTCTCCCCATCTGTGTCTCCCTCTCTCAGCCACCCCTCTACCCCCCACATATGCTGTATCACTGCCACTGCCAACTTTGGCCTATATAGTGGACAACAAAGGTACGATCAGTGTGATCTTAAAATGTTCACAGATACAAAATGTCAAAAATGTTTAACAGTATCATGACCATGACTTATCCCAACTGACCAACAGTGCCCAGAGCCAGACACCACCACCACCACCACCACCAATGAGCTCTTTTCCCCCCAGATATTTCTGCACATTCTAGCTGGTGAAAAATGACACATAGGACTTAAATTTTATAGCAACTAAACTTTTTACAGCCTAGAACAGATCAGTTAATATAAAGTGAAGCAAGAAGTCATGAACTTCTTTCTTTAGGATGCTCACCAGAGCACTCAGAAATCTAACCGTGTCTAGAAGCTGGTTCTAGATGACAACGACGTGTCTATCATTACAGCCTCAAATCTTCTATGTCTGGCTCCTGGACAGGTAGCAGTTGGTTGTAGAAAGGTGTTTCAGGCACAATTATAAGTAAATAATTCTTTAGGGCTTGATCCCCGCCCCCCTCACCCCACTTCCCAGACCCTCATATTATCTGGCTCTCTGATGTAAAGCTTAAAAGAAAACTCTCCCAGTAATCCTGGTGACAGTGTGTGATGCGTCCAATCCCCTTCAGCCTCCACCCCCTTACGAAAGAAAATGAACACCATGAGCCTTTCACTCCCTGCTTTGGCAGAAAACCCTCCTCTTCATAGGCATCCTCAGAGTTCAAGTGTGCTAAAGAGCACAGAGAAAGAACTTTGCTGTGTAGCTGGAGTCTAAGGGTTTTAATATGAAGCTCTAAATATTTAAGAAGAATTTTAAGGAAAGGTCACAACTTGAGTGGAATCATCCCTAAATGTGAACCCACTTCTTGCTCAGTGACTATCAAGTAATTTGACCATGTCCCCTCAAACATTATACTTGATCATATGCATAGGCACACACCTTCAACAATACCTGTGAGTAGGGCAGGCTTTACAATCCATCCTATTCTATTCCACTGTTCTGATCTGTCCTATCCTATCCTGTCCTATCCTATCCTATCCTATCCTATCCTATCCTATCCTATCCTATCCTATCCTATCCTATCCTATCCTATCCTATCCTAATTTTAGTGCATTTAATTTTTAAAAAAATGCTGGTGTCTATCTACTACATTTCTTTTATTCCCCCAAGTGGTTTGTAACCTGCAGTTTGAAAAATGATGTTCCAGGTAATATGAGCATTTATGACTCTTCCCTTCTAAATTGATGTTTGGGAAATAATATCTACTTTCCTTCACACAGAAACATGAGGTGGGAACTCGACTAAAAGCACACATGCTTTTAGTGTGTGCAGTTTTTATTTTCCTTCCAAAATTAAATTTAAAAAAAAACACCCTCCT